TAGGCAGTAGGGATAACCATGTGTTATCTTGATAAGTGCGTGAATTTCACAATTTTCCTGTTCTGCTAAGCATTCAAAATGTAACGAGTACTCAGGGAAAATGTATGGAGTAAAAATAAACATATTTTCTTTAGGAATGTAGTGAAGTAAAAGTAGTCAAAAATATAATAGTCAAGTAAAGATACCCCCAAAAAACCTACTTAAGTACTTTAAACCACTGTTAATATGATATCTGAGTGAGAATGACTAACAAAATTAATGGGGGGCCCATGGAGGTCAGGGCCCTGGGCACGTGCCCTGCGTGCCTGGTCGGTTTTCGTCCATGATTACTACAAGTTTAGATAGCTGGCTAGACTAACTATCAAAAAATTGTTAGCTGACAATGGCTATTTAAGTGACTGTCAGTGACTGACATAAGAGAAAAACTGCTGAATGATACTGTCATGTTCGTCGTTAAGAGAGGAGGACCAAGGCGCAGCGTGATGAACGAACATGTTTATTTATCATTAGCGATAAACACGGACAGTAAACAAAAACAACAAACGACTCGTAACGTCCTAGGTAACATAGACCAACACGGAACAAGAACCCACAAACACAAAGGGAAAAACAGACAGTTTAAATATGGCTCCCAATCAGAGACAACCAGCCACAGCTGACACTCGTTGCCTCTGATTGGGAGTCACTCAGGCCAACATAGAAATAAACAAACTAGAACTCCCAACATAGAAATACACCACATAGAACGAACACACCCTGGCTCAACATAAAGAGTCCCAGAGCCAGGGTGTTACAGTACCCCCCCCCTAAAGGCGCGGACTGCGACCGCGCCTCAACTAGAGCAAAACAGGGGAGGGCTGGGTGGGCATTCCTCTCGGCGGCGGTTCTGGCTCCGGCCTAGCCCACCACCCTCCAGTAAACCCCCCATAGCGCCCCTGGTCCGGTCTGGCCCCGCTGGCTGGAGCTGAACTGGACGTAGCAGGAGCGGTTAGCTTCAGCTCCGTAGTGGAGCAGTCGACCGGTACCTTACCAGGCACCGGTGACCCAGGCAGGGTTGTGCTGGACTGACGACGCGCACCCCTGGCTTGGTGCGTGGAGCCGGAACGGGCCGGACCGGGCTGACGACTCGCACCCCTGGCTTGGTGCGTGGAGTAGGAACGGGCCGAACCGGGCTGACGATGCGCACCCCTGGCTTGGTGCGTGGAGTAGGAACGGGCCGGACCGGGCTGATGATGCGCAACCCTGGCTTGGTGCGTGGAGCCGGAACGGGCCGGACGGGGCTGACGACTCGCACCCCTGGCTTGGTGCGTGGAGTAGGAACGGGCCGGACCGGGCTGACGATGCGCACCCCTGGCTTGGTGCGTGGAGTAGGAACAGGCCGGACCGGGATGGCGACGCACACCGTAGGCTTGGTGCGAGGAGCAGGGACAGGCCGGACCGGGCTGGCGACGCACACCGTAGGCCTGGTGCGTGGAGCAGGGACAGGCCGGACCGGGCTGGCGACGCACACCGTAGGCTTGGTGCGTGGAGCAGGGACAGGCCGGACCGGGCTGGCGACACACACCGTAGGCTTGGTGCGAGGAGCAGGGACAGGCCGGACCGGGCTGACGATGCGCACCCTTGGCTTGGTGCGTGGAGCAGGGACAGGCCGGGCCGGGCTGTGGAGACGGATAGGAGACCTGGAGTGAAGAGCTGCCACAACCCGTCCTGGCTGAATGCCTACCTTCACACACTCTGTGTGAGGCATCAGCACAGGACGTACAGGGCTGTGTACCCGTACTGGCCTAACAGCACGTGACACTGGCGCAGGATATCCGGGACCGAGGAAAGGCACTGGAGGCCACGAGCGCTGAGCCGGCACACTCCGTCCTGGCTGCATGCCCACCTTCGCACAACACGTGCGGGGTGCTCGCACAGGACGTACCGGACTATGCCGGACCACTCGTGGCACAGTACGCAGCTCCGCATACCCCGGAACCTGACCAGTCTCATGCTGCCATGCCTGAGTACGGGGAGTTGGCTCTGCTCTCCATCCAGGCTCCGCCAACCTGCCTTCTGGCCCCCCAAACCCGGTGGCCTCCTCTCCAAATCGCCCTGTGGCAGCCTCCTGCTGCCCAGCCGCCCATGCCGTGTGCCCCCCCCAAAAACATTTTTTGGGGTTGCCTCTCGTCCGTCCGACGATGACACTGCTGACGCCGCTGCTCCTCTCTCGCCAGGGCCTTAATCCTAGCCCATGGCCCTTTACCCCCGAGCATGTCCTCCCAGGACCACGATTTGCCCATCTGGGCCATCGCCAACCTCTCCATCTCCTTTCCCGGCGCTTCCTCCCATGTCCAGTCTGCCTTCTCCTGGACACGCTGCTTGGTCCTTGTATGGTGGGTTCTTCTGTCATGTTCGTTGACACATGATGAAGCGGACCAAGGCGCAGCGTGATGAACGAACATGTTTATTTATCATTAGCGATAAACACGGACAGTAAACAAAAACAACAAACGACTCGTAACGTCCTAGGTAACATAGACCAACACGGAACAAGAACCCACAAACACAAAGGGAAAAACAGACAGTTTAAATATGGCTCCCAATCAGAGACAACCAGCCACAGCTGACACTCGTTGCCTCTGATTGGGAGTCACTCAGGCCAACATAGAAATAAACAAACTAGAACTCCCAACATAGAAATACACCACATAGAACGAACACACCCTGGCTCAACATATAGAGTCCCAGAGCCAGGGTGTTACAGATACACATTGCACATGGTGTATTCTACTATTCTTACTCTCAACAGTAAGTTGAGACCCCGACTGAGTTACAAAATAAATATATATATATATATACACTACTGTTCAAAAGTTTGGGGTCACTTAGAAATGTCCTTGTTTTCGAAAGAAAAGCAATTTCTTTGTCCATTAAAATAACATCAAATTAATCAGAAATACAGTGTAGACATTGTTAATGTTGTAAATGGCTATTGTAGCTGGAAATGGCTGATTTTTAACGGAATATCTACATAGGCATACAGAGGCCCATTATCAGCAACCATCAGTCCTGTGTTCCAATGGCACGTTCTGTTTGCTAGTCCAAGTTTATCATTTTAAAAGGCTAATTGATCATTAGAAAACCCTTTTGCAATTATGTTAGCACAGCTGAAAACTGTTGTGCTGATTAAAGAAGCAATAAAACTGGCCTTCTTGAGGCTAGTTGAGTATCTGGAGCATCAGCAATTGTGGGTTCGATTACAGGCTCAAAATGGCCAGAAACAAATAACTTTCTTCTGAAACTCGTCAGTCTATTCTTGTTCTGAGAAATGAGGGCTATTCCATGGGAGAAATTGCCAAGAAACTGAAGATCTCATACAACGCTGTGGACTACTCCCTTCACAGAACAGCGCAAACTGTCTCTAACCAGAATAGAAAGAGGAGTGGGAGGCCCCGGTGCACAACTGAGCAAGAGGACAAATACATTAGTGTCTAGTTTGAGAAACATACGCCTCACAGGTCCTCAACTGGCAGCTTCATTAAATAGTACCCGCAAAACACCAGCCTCAACGTCAACAGGCGACTCCGGGAAATCTCCCACTTTACCACCACCAAAGCACCCCCAGCCCATCACATTGCCTCCACCATGCTTGACAGATGGCATCAAGCACTCCTCCAGCATCTTTTCATTTGGTTTGCATCTCACAAATGTTCTTATTTTTGATCCGAACACCTCAAACTTCGATTCGTCTGTCCATAACACTTTTTTTTCCAATCTTCCTCTGTCTAGTGTCTGTGTTCTTTTGCCCATCTTAATATTTTATTTTTATTGGCCAGTCTGAGATATGGCTTTTTCTTTGCAACTCTGCCTAGAGGTCAGCATCCCGGAGTCGCCTCTTCACTGTTGACGTTGAGGCTGGTGTTTTGCAGGTACTATTTAATGAAGCTGCCAGTTGAGGACCTGTGAGGCGTCTGTTTCTCAAACTAGACACGAATGTATTTGTTTTTGGCCATTTTGATTCTGTAATCGAACCCACAATTGCTGATGCTCCAGATACTCAACTAGTCTCAAGAAGGCCAATTGTATTGCTTCTTTAATCAGCACAACCATTTTCAGCTGTGCTAACATAATTGCAAAAGGGTTTTCTAATGATCAATTAGCCTTTTAAAATGATAAACTTGGATTAGCAAACACAACGTGCCATTGGAACACAGGACTGATGGTTGCTGATAATGGGCCTCTGTACGCCTATGTAGATATTCCGTTAAAAATCAGCCATTTCCAGCTACAATAGCCATTTACAACATTAACAATGTCTACACTGTATTTCTGTTATTTTAATGGACAAAGAAATTCATTTTCCTTCGAAAACAAGGACATTTCTAAGTGACCCCAAACTTTTGAACGGTAGTGTACATAAGATTCACTGTCAGTTTTATTCGTCAAAGAGCCTCTGAAAATAACCAAACAGCTACTAGCCTCACCTTCCAGGGCCATATTATAATTCTCAGGTAAATAAGTGATCTCCCTGGAGGTGACAATTGTATAAGTGTTGCAAGAGCCGTTGCTGATGAGACAGAGCGAACAGCAACCTCCCTGGGACTCGTTCATTGTGTTACCTTCCTCCTGCCCAGACTTCAATAAAGCAGCTTTGTTTTACAGCTCTGTGTTAATTTAGCCTTGACCAGAGCCATTACGTAGAAAGTCGCCAAGATTAAGAGTCTTTGAATTGTAGTGTTGAGAGGAGTCTAGAGAAAACTCATTACTAATGTTGATGAAGTGACGTTTACTCTTTTTTTGGTAAAACATCTGTTGGTAATGGCTGAGCGCTGAAATATATTTCCAATGCATCTTTGTGATATCTATATAAAGTAAATCAGTACCAACTTTGCATAACATGTATTATCTATTCATATTTGGTAAAAGGTGAACACAAGGAACATGTTTCACAACGTCTGATCATGTCTCTCTTATTACTTGAGTCCTTGCTAATTATGTACAATGTCTTGTCTCTTTAGACCACCACTCTGATTGGCCTGTTGAAGACAGCCCGACTTCTGCGATTGGTGCGTGTTGCCCGGAAACTGGACCGTTACTCTGAGTACGGAGCTGCTGTGCTCATATTACTCATGTGCATCTTTGCACTCATCGCTCACTGGCTAGCCTGCATATGGTACGCCATTGGCAATGTGGAGAAGCCTTACCTGGAGCACAACATTGGTTGGCTCGACAATCTTGGGGTTTCCATTGGCAAGAGGTATAACTACAGTGACCCTAGCTCTGGGCCCTCCATCAAGGACAAATACGTCACAGCACTTTACTTCACGTTCAGCAGTCTAACCAGTGTGGGCTTTGGGAATGTCTCCCCAAATACCAACTCAGAAAAGATCTTCTCTATCTGTGTCATGCTGATCGGCTGTGAGTCTGATACTTCCTACTTTCTTTTACTTAGCTGCTCAGAATGTTAGAATGAACTAACATTCACATTGACAAGATTCATTGTACTAATAGATAGCACAAAGGACTGCTGACTTTTACTTTTGTCTGTGTGTTGTGTAGCCCTCATGTATGCCAGCATCTTCGGTAACGTGTCAGCCATCATCCAGCGGCTATACTCGGGCACGGCCAGGTACCACACCCAGATGCTTCGGGTTCGAGAGTTCATCCGCTTTCACCAGATCCCCAACCCGCTAAAGCAGCGGCTGGAGGAGTACTTCCAACACTCCTGGACCTACACCAATGGCATCGACATGAACACGGTAAGCAGCAAAACCTCAACTCAGCATACCAACATAGTTCAATCCTCTTTCTTGCCAATGTGATCCTCATGCAAAATGTTTAAAAAAAAAACTTTTTTCATTTCTGCTTTTCAAATGGAATAACATCTACGCTGGTAAGAGCAGGAGGTACATATGTGAAAGTATGAATTGTAACCATTTCCATGTTAAGCTAAATTGCTTTACATTTTTGTTTAGCTTTCAAATCATAATATTTTGCTCTCAAAATATCTCATAATAGACAGTAGATGACCAGCAACACGATAAACCATCATCATCATCATCATCACTTTTCTTTTCAGTTTTTGAGTGAGGTATTTGAGTTTCCATACCATCTCCTGTGTGCCAACAGCCCAACGCTGAGCTTCCACATGCATGGCAGATTCTAATTACCCAAGTGCTTTGAGCTGAGGCCAAGGGCATATGTCACAGATTGGCTTTATTTGTTTATTTGGATCCCCATTAGCTTTTGCAGAAGCAACAGCTACTCTTCCTGGGCTCCACAAAAAACACCAAACATAACAAGTAACAAAATACTGCTAGACAAGGACTGTCACACAAATACAACGATACACAAACAATACAATTAAAAATACTAAGAAGTGTGCATGTGGCTGCATGAGCTTGCTTGAAGGATACAGTAGTGCCTTTTCCTTTTCAAGTACAGCGTACTGCATAAAAACTTAGGACAACTTACTGTATCTTTCGTTGTGAAAAAAGGTCCTAACGGCCTGTGTTTTTTATAGTACATTTGCATCACTGAAACACTGTTGTGGGCCAATAGAGGAATAGTTTAGCCCAGATTAATTCCCGTGTATTGTAGAGGTAAGTATATTCTGTTATTGTTTTTGTCACAACCGGTAGCCTATTTTAAATTCCAGGAGATGAAAACACCTTGAAACGCTAACCATTTGAGAAGGGTGATAATAACAATGAAAACATACATGTGAAAAACTGTTGCCTGACTCCTGAGGTGAATCCATGGTGGCTGCATTCTATAATTGTTTAATTTCTCTACAAATACTGTAGGTGTTAAAAGGCTTCCCTGAGTGTCTGCAGGCAGATATCTGCCTCCACCTCAACCAGGCTCTGTTGGAGAGCTGCAAGGCCTTCCACGGAGCCACCAAGGGCTGCCTGAGAGCCCTGGCCATGCGCTTCCAGACCACCCACGCTCCCCCAGGGGACACCCTGGTCCACAGCGGAGACGTCCTAACTGCACTTTACTTCCTGTCTCGGGGCTCCATAGAAATCCTGAAAGATGACGTTGTGGTAGCCATTCTGGGTAAATGCATGTGAACTATAGAAACTGGTGTTTTTTCCTGGTCATGTGGTCAGGGAAAATGAATGATATGTTATTATTAGGCAGGGCTCCAGACTGCGACCATTTAGTCGCATTTTGCGACCCTTTGACTTGGCTGTGAGAGTACAATTCTTAACTGGTTGCATCGGTGCGAGCTGCAAAATCTAGCTACTCATTCAAAACTTTCTGTTTTTTGGGTTGGCTAAAACTATGATTTGGTCAAACAGTAAATTCTTACACTCAAACTAGTGTCTGCCCTGTCCCTGTTTCGCTGCCCCTGTGCTGTACCTGTTATGAACTGTGATGAGCGAGCCACACTCCCTCTCCCCACTGGGCGCTCTGAGTGGATGGAGAGGAAAAATGCGTTCTGATTGCCAACATTTCGAAATGCAATAGCAGGAAAAATCTGTTTTTAACCGTTGAAGAGAGGAGGGCCTCAGCTTTCTGTACATATTACATGTATTCCTCAACTCTCAATATTGAGCATTCTACCACTGTCTAACAACCAAAGTAATTGGTATGGCTTTGAGATATTGATCGCTGGAAGCGCACGACTGCCATTAGCGGCGATTGCATAGGCGGCCTATATATACATCATTGGGTAGTAGCTAAAAAATTTATAATTGGGTAGTAGCCTATGCTACTACCCATTCAATTTACTGTTAGATTAATCAATTACACGGCTAACGAGGAGTATATTATATTTAGCGATCTAGTTAATTAGTTGAGTTTCCACTTCCTCAGATGGTGAATAATCCCCAAATGAATTAGTCTATGTGATGTTAGTACACAAAAGTAAATTAGTCTATTGAACAAAAAAAGTCTGAAATTCTGGAGCCCTATTTGGATATAGCAACAGTAACCTAATTGTCAACCCAAAATTCATGACAATCACTGGTTAAGGTTGCATATCAAAATAATGTAGCCATGGTGGGGCAGGCAAGCGAACCCACATCGCTGGCATGAAAGGCAAACACCCTACACATCGCGCCAATAAGGTCAACTCACTTGGTGGGAATTGTAAGGTGGCTCATATAGCAAGAATCACTACACTGCCCCATCCAAACGGGAAGGCAAGTTCCTGTGCTTTGAATACTCAGCCCCCTCACACGTCCGGGCCGTGCCTTCCGATGGCCTCATGGCCGCCATTTCACTTCTTACACCAATGCAGCAAAAGGTGGGTCTGGAAAGCGAACCCCAGGTCGCTGGCATGAAAGGTAAACACCGTACGCATCGCGCCAATAGGGTTAACCCACATGGTGGGAATTGTAACGTGGCTCATATAGCGAGGATCACTACAATATCTTGAATTATGCATTCCTGCTGCTTGGATATGTTAGATCACAGGTGTCAAACTCATTCCATGGAGGGCCGAGTGCCTCCTGCTTTTTGTTATTTGCTTTCAATATGTGTCCAATTAAGACCTAGACAACCAGGTGAGGGGAGTTCCTAACTAATCAGTGAACTTTAATTGATCGATCAAGCACAAGGGGGGAGTGAAAACACGCAGCGCAGACTGAGTTTGACACCTGTGTGTTAGATGAAACAACTTATTTCTTGAATCATACTATTTAAGTAGCACTTTGAATGATTTTATCATGGGCTGGTGCCACCAGGGGAAAGGTTAGTTTGGAGCCCTGTTAGGGCCAGGGGAGTTTTCTGACCATGTGATCTGAGCAGGAAAAACTCCAGGCTCTATATATGCTGATTGGAAGACAGCTAATGCTGATTGGTAGCTTTTTAATGCATGATAAGACAGATTGTTACTTACTGTCAGGGCAGTAAAGAAGAAAAAAAACTAAGTAGAGAACTGGGGTTAGTGAGGCTTTTTTATAACAATGGTTTCAGGAGCACCAACTCTTACATGAGCATTAATATTTAAATTCCTTTTGTCTGTGTTTATAGATACATGGTTGGACATTTAATTAAAGCTGTAATTGCATGTTTCCTGGATGGGTTGAATTGAATTATTGATTTGAATTATTCCATCCTGGCCAGTGTAGGGTTTCGTGCTCATATGATATTTGCCAGTGTGTAGAGCTAGATGTCAACTCAGGCAGAGATACACAGTGTCACCTCCCAGAGGAAAGATGGCTGGTTATTTAAACACTGATCCACTGCAGCAGACCTGCAGTGGGAGTTCTCTTGTCTAAATCTGACAACTGACTGCAACAATGTGTTCTGTCTAGCCTATCCGAATCTTAACATGCTCCTCGTAAGCGTGAAAACCTGAATGTATTTTATACTAGTTGTCTTATCTGGGTATGATTTTCCTTAGCACACATTTAAACAAGAATAGTGACTAGAGAAGTTAGATAAGCTTCCATTCCTAAGGTCTTGTCTTATTTTTTATTTTACTTTATTTAACCTTTTATTTTAACAGCGAAGACATATTGAGACCTATGTCTCTTTTACAAATGTGCTCTGTATATGTAGGTACAGTGTTATTGCATTAGGATTGATCATCTGACAGAATGGAGGCTCTGACATTTATATTAAGTGGCTCCGTGTGAGACTGTTTGGCAACTTCAAAGAGCAAAGTGAAACAGCTGTCATTGCATAGCACCCCTGCTCTTTTAATAGCTGCAAAAGTGAGGGAACACAACGGAGGCATATAGGCAGAGGCATAAGAAAAAATAAAAGGAGATGTTATCTTCTGTTATCTGATTGTCAACAGTTCTTAGCAGTATTGTCTTATAGGTATAGTGTTTCATCTATATGCATTTATCAGCGGCGCACCGCTACTGCTAAATCGTGGCCACCCCTGCAAAAATAAAATATTACATATTTGTGATGGTAAAACGTTTGTGTAAACTTAACCAACTATAACCAGATATAAAGTATTTAGAAAATATAATGGAGCAATATATTTTTTAATGAGACCATCTTTGAGAACCAACAATCACCAAAATAAAAACTAAACAGTCAGGGAGAATCTAAAATTACTAAAATGTCATGGCATGGGGCCCCCATCGATTTTGTTATAATGTTTGAGTCACACAGATAGCATAAGAACACAGCATAAGCCATGGCAAAATGTGCAGAATTGCAGGAAATGAACTTCCGCTGCTGAATAAAATCCTAGTGGAAGCACTGAGGTAATATTGGTTAGTGGTTATTAAAATGGCCTACACATGAGAGTAATAAGGAGTGGTTTTCCATACAGTAATATCACACCTGGAACCCACTGACTACCAGGTTTTGCAGGCTAAGCCTAGATTAAATTGAGCATCTTTCATCACATGAAAGACCTGACATAATAAGGTCAGAACCAGGCCAAAGCTGCTGTGTAATACAAAACCAATAATATGAATTACACTGGAAGATGCATATATCATAGATCCGCATATTTGGAAACAATACATTGATATATCACAACAACCTTCCAAAAGCCAATTAAATTAATTCTGCCACTAGAGCATATCTGCCCAGGGAACACTTTTAAGAAAGTAAAACTGCAATGAGCCACAGGGAAATCAATTTGTATGTATAACATATGCTTTTGAGAACCAAAAACCTCCAAAATGACGATTGTTTGTATGCTAATATTCCATTGTAGGCTTTTGTTCTATTGTAACCCTGGTACAAAGCCCTGGTGTGAAAGCTATGCGTAGGCTTCCATGTTAGAGGTGTCTGGTCCCTGCTGAGGTGGAACACTAAGGCTGCAGACCACTCCTCATAAGTCACTTAAAGCCACACAGCAGTGCAACCTATTACATCTCATTCACACAAAATGCTGCACAGGGGTTGACATTTGTTAAGAATTGGCACCACTGAAAGGTCTCTTAAGATGCCCTTTAAGGCCAGGCACCACACCCTAATAGGGTATTTTTTTCCCTTAATCCTATCACAATCAACTTTTACCAGTTGAATGTGGACACAAATCAAATATATTTTTTAATGTGTTCATTATACCATATCTCATTAAATATTTGCATATCATGCAAATAATTTTCTGGGACACTGGATGAAGTCAGCCTAAATATTTTGGTTTACTTTTGTTAAGATACTCCAGGACCGGACTTACACATAGCCAAATTGTGGATACATATTTTTTTCATCTTTCTATCTGTAAAATACTAAAGAAAGGTACTTAAAATGCAATTTTGGTGCCTAATTTTTTTTTTTTAATGTCATCTAGAATATACATTTGAAAACATATCAACAATTCCCTATGCATAAGTCTGGATAATATGTCTAAGGATAACCACACACATTTTGGTGAATGCAGATGCTTCTGAGGTTGAGAAAAATGAGTTGGCATGTGACAAGAGTCTGACTTTCGGGAAATGGCAGTTAAAGACAAGGACACTGAATTTAGACTACCAAACGTAAATTACTACATATAGTCCAGTTTGTAACATTCTCTATGAAATGGCCTTTTAAATTATTTGTGATTCAATGTAGTGAGCTTTGAAATTATGGATGTATGTCCATTTAAAAAAGTGTTTACATTATGACATTTTGATGACGGTAGTATGATAAACTAACAAAAATATACAACAGACTGACGGACAGAATAGGCACTCTACTTTCATATCCTCAAAAGGCAAACCCAGGCAGGCCATCCTCCTCTGCATCAGTCCAATCCATTAGTCTGCACACAGACAGACACAGAGCAATTCTCCTAATTTTCTGAGATTATATGATCATCCTTTATTCACTTAGACTCATACCAGCTCTCCTGTCTGGTGTATTCTCCTGATAATTCTCTCTAAGAAGAACCTCATCTACAATCTCTCTCTCTCTCTCTCTCTCTCTCTCTGTCTCTACTCACCAGGAAAGAATGACATCTTTGGAGAAATGATCCATCTGTACGCCAAGCCTGGGAAGTCCAATGCGGACGTCAGAGCCCTGAGTTACTGTGACCTACATACCATACAGAGAGATGATCTCTTAGAGGTGCTTGACATGTACCCTGAGTTTGCAGATTTCTTCCTGACAAATCTGGAGCTGACGTTCAACCTCAGAGACGAGAATGGCAAGGTACATCTACACTGAACAAAAACATAAACGCAACATGCAACAATTTCAAAGATTTTACTGAGTAACGGTTCATATAAGGACATCAGTCAATTGAAATACATTAACTAGGCCCTAATCTATGGATTTCACATGACTGGGAACACAGACATGCGTCTGTTGGTCACAGAGACCTTAAAAAAAGGTAGGAGCGTGGATCAGAAAACCAGTCAGTATCTGGTGTGACCACCATTTGCCTCATGCAGGGCGACATCTCCTTCGCATAGAGTTGATCAGGTTGTTGATTGTGGCCTGTGGAATGTCCCAATCCTCTTCAATGGCTGTGCGAAGTTGCTAATTATTGGCGGAACTGGAACACGCCATTGATCCAGAGCATCCCAAACAGGCTCAATGGATGACATGTCTGGTGAGTATGCAGGCCATGGAAGAACTGGGAACTGACATTTTCAGCTTCCAGGAATTGGGTACATGCCGTGCATTATCATGCTGAAACATGAGGTGATGGGGGCAGATGAGTGGCACGACAATGGGCCTCAGGATCTCATCACGGTATCTCTGTGCATTCAAATTGCCATTGATAAAATGCAATTGTTTTCATTGTCCGTAGCTTATGCCTGCCCATACCATAATCCCATGCCAACATGAGGCACTCTGTTCACAACGTTGACATCAGCAAACCGCACGCCCACACGACGCCATACACGCCATCTGCCCGGTACAGTTTAAACCGGGATTCATCCATGAAGAGCACACTTCTCCGGCGTGCCAGTGGCCATCGAAGGTTAGCATTTGCCCATTGAAGTCAGTTATGACGCTGAACTGCAGTCAGGTCAAAACCCTGGTGAGGACAATGAGCACGCAGATGAGCTTCCCTGAGACGGTTTCTGACAGTTTGTGCAGAAATTCTTTGGTTGCGCAAAAAACCACAGTTTCATCAGCTGTCCGGGTGGCTCTGCAGGTGAAGAACATACTGCCAAATTCTCTAAAACAACGTTGAGGCAGCTTATGGTAGAGAAATAAACATTACATTCTCTGGCAATAGCTGTGGTGGACATTCCTTCAGTCAGCATGCCAATTACACGCTCCTTCAAAACTTGAGACATCTGTGGCATTGTGGTGTGTGACAAAACTGCACATTTTAGAGTGGCCTTTTATTGTCCCCAGCACAAGGTGCACCTGTGTAATGATCATACTGTTTAATCGTCTTCTTGATATGCCACACCTGTCAGGTGGATGGATTATCTTGGCAAAGGAGAAATGTTCACTAACAGGGATGTAAACAAATTTGTGTACACAATTTGAGAGAAATAAGCTTTTTGTGCGTATGGAAAATGTCTGGGATCTTTTATTTCAGCTCAAGAAACATGGGACCAACACTTTATGTTGCGTTTATATTTGTGTATGTCAGACAATGCACATGGTCATAACACTAGCCTGTTGGGTCCTCTGTCGAAACTGTATGGTCAATAAACACAGTATTCTGTAGCATATTCTGACAATGAAATAGTCCTGACTATAACAAAAAAATATAAGATTTGCCATATGAGATTGTGTAAGACAAAATGTTATATAATCAGTAATAGCATTTCAAAAGTGCACTCCCTGTATTCTTAAGTATTTCTTAACTATGTGTTCGGAAAGGTCATTGCATGACGTTGTTAATTATGCGTTATGACATGTTATGTTAATGTATATGTTGAGGGTATATGACTACATTGACATTACTTAGTATTAATTTACTATGCTCACGGCCACCGCTATTAAATAGAGATGTTACATTGTGGCTTTAATTAGATGTTGCTGTAGCAAATGATGTAATATTTATGATATGATATTACATTAGCCAGGTGGGCCTAGTTTCAGTGATTGTATGTTCTGATGTTTCCATCGTTGCAGGCCGCGTATTCTCACGCTAGTGACTCAGATCCAGAGGAAGACGTTAAGAGCACAAAGATCACAAGAAGGATCTCCTTCACACCACATCCAACTAAAGGCGAGTTCTGTATCCATACTTTGCACGAGCGCTTCCTCTTGTCATTTTTCACTGAGCAGCTCTCTCAGTCCCAGAGGAGTTCAGTGCTTTCTCTCTGTAACACTAGAGCACGGTGTGTTCCACTGCCTCGTCTTGATTACAATTCCACAGGGGGAAGCAACAAGGAAACAGAAAATGAATCCGGGAGGGAGAGGGAGTCCTACTCGTGCCTAAAGAGAACTTCAGTTGACCTGAAACACTCAGGGAAGGAGGAGCAGAGGTCCATGGGGTCGGCCATCCAGGGTTGTCCCTCGGTGGAAGACCTTGCACTGGGGCTCGAGTCCAATCCCCCTGGAGACATCATGGAGAAAACTCCCTCTTATGATGATAACATTGGTGAGCAGCAATACAATCATAACCCTTTCTGTGCTCACACATTAATACCCAAGTCAATTATTAGAGCACGGGAACTAAATGTCCCCACATTAATCATCAGATGTTTCTACTCATACTACTTTCTAAAATGATCTACAGTTCATTAGTGGATTTCAAATGAGCTATACGGTACGGGCTGTACGGTCTCTGGACCACGTGCTGTTAAGGTCATTGATTGGGCCACTGTGTTCTAAGAGCGATGACTTTATATCAGTGGGGAAATGGCCACCGTTGTAAACATCCCTTTTAAGAGGATCATAGAACATCATCCATTTATCCCCCATCAGTGTCTTGTCACAGGCATACTGTTAAGATAGGCCTCTGACTTGGTCATTGACTCAGCTACATGGTGACGAAAAGTACCACGTACTGTACAGCCAAAAACACCCCAAGATGTCAGTGGGTGTGTCCAAGACGAAGTATCCAGAAACAGTAAGACAGTAAATGCACCTGTGTAGGAGGCTAGGAGCGAAGACACAAAGACAATATAGGCCTATCAATCAAATCCCACCCCAGTGTAAATCCCTGAGTAAAGCCATGTGCATGGAGCTGAAATGAGTACCAAGACGAGTCTCAGTGGAGCAGCTTCTTTCACCAGCTTAAGTCACAGGCAGCATTTTTTAGAGGCTTTAGGAAAAGCTGCTGCACTGCTTTCGCACAGATGCGCGCCCTCCAAATGTGCACGGTACGTCCAAGTTAGTTCTCGTCCCAGAATTGTAATACCTTATAGGAAATAGGCCTACAGCATTCCCTGAGGTGGCTGTATATGACTGTCTGTAGGAGAACAGCAATTGATTTCCATGCTCTGATGGAGAAAATCAATGTTATCCACACGTCTTTACAAGACACACACAGTGTGTCGCTGACTAAGTCATACGTGGAATTCGCAATGATTACTATTCCAATAGGCTCACATTGTTCTATGAATGGCCTAATGTTTACAGTAGAGACCACAGAAAGAGGAATGTGTATTTCAGTCTGGGCATCCCAAAGGCTCCTGCTACAACAGATAAACGTGATTAAAGTTTATTATCAGCCTGTCAGTTGTTTCAAATCATAAAAGAGCTGCTCTTACCCACACCAGCATTAATCAGTGTACACAGCACGTATTAGCAGTGTGTTTAGCAGAGATAACACCAGAGTTAGCCCGAATGTCCCACCACGACATAGAAAACCATTGTCTCCTGAAACACTAGCTAGGCTAATAAATTACAAACACAAGGAACAACACACAACAGCTTTTCACCCAAAGATGAATAGAATAGTGTTCTATTTTCAATGGTTGGTTGGTTTAGTGATTACCAGGCACCTGTGCTCTGACCCACATGTGAGCTTGTAAAGGATGCGTGTTTCCCTCCCTTGCCAGATCTGTGCAATGACAAATGGGCCTGCGAGAAGCCCCGAGACTACCTGGATGAGTCAGCACAATTGCAGGACCTGAGGGGCGAGGACGACGATGCCAGTGAAATCACATACGGAGAGGTGGAGCAACGCTTAGATCAGCTCCAAGAGCACTTGAACAGGTAGGCCTACTGTACTGCACACCTTTGGACATCTCTGACCTCTACAATGTAATGTCAAACATTCATGAAAATCTAGTTTCACTCCAGCTATAAAGACCAATAAAAAGATGTGCGAGCCAGAAGGGAGGCGAAAAATGACAGCACGCACTCTCCAGAGATATTAATTAAATTTGATAACATCCAGTGATGGAACTTAAAGGAAAATACCACCCAAATGCTAGCTTTTTGTATTTGTAAAACGCATCATACTGTGCCACTTTCTGTATTTTGAAAGTTCTATATCTTGAAAACTTGATTGCTGACATGCAAAACATATTGGGACTGTATCAACAGTGCACTAATGAAACAAATACCAAAATATAGTTTGAGTGGAATTTTCCTTTAAGTATTTTGGGCACTAGTAGACCGCATTTCCTACTAGCCTGGTCTGAAAAGTAGTCTGGTCTGAAATCTGCTATGCGATAATGGAAAAGACAACATTTGATCTGGATCTCGGGCTAGTTTGGCACATTTCCTACCAGCCTGGTTTGAAAAGTACTAGCCTCGGGCTAGCGGGCTAGCTTAATTTCCATCCCTGTGAACATTACATGTAACTGGGCTACTTGTTCCATGTGCATTAATACAGTACATTTGAATAACCTTTATATCCTGAGGCAGACAAACAGGTTGAAAGGAGAGATAACACACCTGCAGCCAGCAGGCTGCCAAGAGCAGACAGACAAACAGCAGGTGGTACAGTATTTTTAGCAGGAATTATCACAGAATAGGAGACATCACATTGGAGGGCTCCTGCATCTGTGTGGCCCATTTTTCTGTCTCCAAAAAGACACATTATCCAGTGCACTCTTTCTGACCCTGAGTTTTACTCAACTGTTAGCAGCTACCGTTTGTGTGGTTTTTAGCAACATGTCTCCGCCATTTAGGCTCTATTTCAGCGGTAACCTAACGACCATCGTTCATTGGGGGAGAGAAGCGCTAAAATAATTGCTAATTGCTTGTCTCCTCAACACAGCTATTATATTACACTAAACAAAACAAGGTTGTCTATTATTTGAATGGCAGAGAATCCATCTTGTTACTTTGTATTTCCCTTATGTGTCAAGAATGACGGCCTGCTGAACAAATGATGAAGGCATTTTACTAAGCATGTGCATAATGGCACTATTTCTGATTGGCGGATGGCTGCTAAGGGCAATTAAAACGATTAATCAGCATCAACACAGATAATGCTCTATATATAGCAGCTGGAGGATATCCCATCCATTATGACTACCGGTAATGTGTAAGTGTGAGGTAGCTAGACATTATTACCCCACCCTTATTGAATATTCATTATGACTCCTAGAGAGAGAATCGGTAGTACTATTAGAGAGAGAGACGATAGAACATGTTCCCAAGCCTTTTGATTTAATTGACAACCGTGATGATACTGTAATGTCAACATAGATCACAAGCGCCCCCTAGTGCTAGAATTTGACACATACAACGACTGTACAATAAAAACAAAACAACGATAGCCTAGAGACAGTATGGTTGTTGATTTGTGTTGAACTTATCTTCCATTAGCCTCCAGTCCCTATAACCAAGAGTAGCCGTTCATTTTCTGCCTTCTGTTTTTGTAGGCTGGAGTCCCAGATGACATCAGATATTCAGACCATCCTGCAGCTCCTGCAGAAGCAGTCTACCCTGGGACCTCCTGCCTACAGCACTGTGACTGCTAGTCCAGACTATCAAAGGCCAGCTGTTAGGGTCCAGCCAATTGCTGCTTTGACCAGCAGCCATTGCTTCAGCCATTCATCATCACAAGTACGTACTGAACTGTTGATTTCCACAGAACAAACAGACAATGGAAATCAAGGACTAAGACTTTTTAAACATGGAATGGATATCATATTTGAAAAGTGATGACCGACTCCAAGGGTTCTAAGGTACTTTCTAATGGTCAAAGCACACACTTACGTTGAAATGTGTGTGTGTGTGTTTGCTGTTATTTATTTTACGTTATCAGAGTCCTGAACTGAACTTGGAGAGGAGCCATCAGGAATCCAAAGACTTGCTGTCAGGCTTGGCTTACATGGATGATTCACCCATAGAGGACAGCCTTACGGTACTGCTTGTACAAAGACACACACAGAACAAACCCGCAGGACATCAACATTCCAAATCTCTCTTTCTTCCTATTGAGGACTCCTCTCCACTATCAGACTCATCATCTCCCAACACAGGACTCCATAGGCCAGTCTCAGACCCAGGACCTCCAAGGCCATAGAGCAAGATCTCTTATTTTCTGTTTGCCTGTCTTCTCTGAAGTGTGACTCAGGGTTTCACTCACTATTTATTGCATTGCAATATGTGAAGTATCTTGTAGTTTTCCTCCTGAAATGATTTGCATTATTAATGATGTACATGCACACCCTTGATGTTACACTGCCAGCAACAAAGACACCATACATGCTTGTCCAGGTAGATAGGCTGTGAATGACAGATTGTTTTCGTTGCATGGTAGCTTTGATTCAGACCTCTGACAGACAAGTGTGATGTTGGTAGGTTTACAAGGCAGTACATTTATTTTCACCTTAGTATGTAAATTCTTTTGCACTGCTTATTTGAACCAAAAGTAGCATATAATATACTGTATGATAACGGCATTGTCCATATACTTCAGACTTTGTTTTAGATTACAGTTTCTTTTACTAAATGGTTATGCATACATAGTATTACATGTTATGTAACACATGCAGAGATATAATGTTAGCTTATCAATAGGCCCAGGAAATATAGATGGGGTATTGTGCCTATAACTAAATCCAAAACTCAAATCAGTATCTTTATGTAGCCTCACACTGCTCATTCTCAACATCAACTAAATCACATTGTTTTCCAATGTATTCTGCTCTCATAGTAATTGCACATTAATAACATCTTATAGGAAAGACATGTACAAATATGTACATTCATTTTATTTATTAAGGAATACATTATTAAATGATGGGGTGCAATTGAAATTTTAGTGGTAGCATATGTTTGTCCTGAATATGGGAGCAATACAATTAAACAAAAACATTTACTTTTGAAGAACTTCCAATTGGCTGACCTTTTTTCTAAAGATTTTGTCCACCATACCTTTTTGTGGAGAAATGTATTTTGCACTAAAAGCTGCTTGAATAATCAGCAATGCAATTATTTTGTCTCATGCATGCATTTAGCATCCATTATCAATGTTGTACTATAATATTTACAACATATGGGATTACAAATGCCCTTGCTTTCTCTTCAATATAAAGTTATGAAGACAAAACAGTATACCTGCATGTCCAAAGCACTAAAACATTCAAGCGGTGGAAGGATTTAAGTTCCATGATTACTGTATAATAATTATAGAATGAGTGTGTCACATTAGTCCATTCCCAAATAAGGACACATACACCAGAGTAGCAGGCAGTAAACATATGATCACAATATTCCAACTAATGAATTTGTTTATTATTATATGGATTATGTCATCTGTCAGCTGTCACCTATATGAACATTCCCTAAAATGAGTAGCCTAGGTATTGTATGGAAAGTAAATACATGGTAAAGTCCTTAGTAAGCTTTTGTGTAAATTGGCCTGATTCACACAAACTAGGCGGATAGAGTAACATTAATTAGTTGGTCTAGTTTTTCACTTATGTTTTTGATGCATTTTCAGTGTTTGACACTTTCTACACCCCACTACAAATAATTGGAATGTTTCTGCTCTGAAGTGATTACAGATACAACGTATAGAGTACAATTGATTTAGCTAATTACCTTGCCTATTTCAAGGAATAAAAAGTATATTTAATACAATGTCAAGTGTACCAAGTCTTTTATATTATAATTTTTTAATGGATGGTCATCATCAATGCACATCAACCATCCTGTGTAAAGCATTGACTCTTCATATTGATGCCGCTAATGCACAGGAATTCAGAACTTAATGCAATGTTTTTCTAGGAACTCACAGGTAGGCCCTATTTGGCAAAACAACAACCAAAAGGCCTGCAACACAAAAGCCATGGAACTGTTTATTGGCCAGGAGTGAGAGTGTGATTTGAAGGAATCAGGCGCAGGAGGGTCAATCACAGAATACAGAGTTTATTCCGTAGTACACAGTTACGCTGGATAGCGTCAACAGTCCAGTGCGCAAAACAGGCGCATTGGAACAAATACAGGCACACGGGGAAAATATACCCCGGCAATACAAAGTACAGGTAGCTCCACCGAGCTACACTCATCTCACATGAAACAATCACCCACAAGGACAAGGGGGCAGAGAGAACACTTATACATGTACTAATGAGGGGAATATGGTCTCCTTGTCTGACCATGTGTTCTCGCATACCCCGAGAGCATCTGGTCAGCGGGGTGGTGGCACAGGAATCCTCATCTCTCCCAAGTGGACATTCTCTATTTTTCCCCTGACCCATCTGTCTATCTCCTCATTTGAATTCCATGCTGTCACAGTCACTAGCCCATTCAAGCTTAACATCCTTGTCATTTATCGCCCTCCAGGTTCCCTTGGAGAGTTCATCAATGAGCTTGACGCCTTGATAAGTTCCTTCTCCCTCCAATCTCCTGATTCTGCCTACTCAACCCTCCTCTCCTCCCTTTCTGCATCCTTTGAACTCTATGTCCCCTATCCTCCCGGCCGGCTCGGTCCTCCCCTCCTGCTCCGTGGCTTGATGACTCATTGCGAGCTCACAGAACAGGGCTCCGGGCAGCCGAGCGGAAATGGAGGAAAACTAGACTGCCTGCGGACCTGGCATCTTTTCACTCCCTCTTCTCTACATTTTCTTAATCTGTTTCTGCTGCTAAAGCCACTTTCTACCACTCTAAATTCCAAGCATCTGCCTCTAACCCTAGGAAGCTCTTTGCCACCTTCTCCTCCCTGCTGAATCCTCCTCCTCCCCCCCCCCCTCCTCCCTCTCTGTGGATGACTTCGTCAACCATTTTGAAAATAAGGTTGACGACATCCGATCCTCGTTTGTTAAGTCAAATGACACTGCTGGTCCTGCTCACACTGCCCTACCCTATGCTTTGACTTCTTTCTCCCCTCTCTCTCCAGATAAAATCTTGCGACTTGTGACGGCCGGCCGCCCAACAACCTGCCCGCTTGACCCTATCCCCTCCTCTCTTCTCCAGACCATCTCCGGTGACCTTCTCCCTTACCTCACCTCGCTCATCCTTGACCGCTGGCTATGTCCCTTCCGTCTTCAAGAGAGCGAGAGTTGCACCCCTTCTCAAAGAACCAACACTCGATCCCTCTGATGTCAACAACTACAGACCAGTATCCCTTCTTTCTTTTCTCTCCAAAACTCTTGAGCGTGCCGTCTTTAGCCAACTCTCTTGCTATCTCTCTCAGAATGACCTTCTTGATCAAAACCAGTCAGGTTTCAAGACTGGTCATTCAACTGAGACTACTCTTCTCTGTGTCACGGAGGCTCTCCGCACTACTAAAGCTAACTCTCTCTCCTCTGCTCTTGTCCTTCTAGACCTGTCTGCTGCCTTTGATACTGTGAACCATCAGATCCTCCTCTCCACCCTCTCCGAGCTGGGCATCTCCGGCGAGGCTCACTCTTGGATTGCGTCCTACCTGACCGGTCGCTCCTGCCAAGTGGCGTGGCGAGAATCTGTCTCCGCACCACGTGCTCTCACCACTGGTGTCCCCCAGGGCTCAGTTCTAGGCCCTCTCCTATTCTCGCTATACACCAAGTCACTTGGCTCTGTCATATCCTCACATGGCCTCTCCTATCATTGCTACGCAGACGACACACAACTAATCTTCTCCTTTCCCCCTTCTGATAACCAGGTGGCGAATCGCATCTCTGCATGTCTGGCAGACATATCAGTGTGGATGACGGATCACCACCTCAAGCTGAACCTCGGCAAGACGGAGCTGCTCTTCCTCCCGGGGAAGGACTGCCCGTTCCATGATCTCGCCATCACGGTTGACAACTCTGTTGTGTCCTCCTCCCAGAGTGCGAAGAGCCTTGGCGTGACCCTGGACAACACCCTGTCGTTCTCCGCTAACATCAAGGCGGTGACCCGATTCCTGTAGGTTCGTGCTCTACAACATTCGGAGAGTACGACCCTGCCTTACACAGGAAGCGGCACAGGTCCTAATCCAGGCACTTGTCATCTCCCGTCTGGATTACTGCAACTCGCTGTTGGCTGGGCTCCCTGCCTGTGCCATTAAACCCCTACAACTCATCCAGAATGCCGCAGCCCGTCTGGTGTTCAACCTTCCCAAGTTCTCTCACGTCACCCCGCTCCTCCGCACACTCCACTGGCTTCCAGTTGAAGCTCGCATCTGCTACAAGACCATGGTGCTTGCCTACGGAGCTGAGGGGAACGGCACCTCCGTACCTTCAGGCTCTGATCAGTCCCTACACCCAAACGAGGGCATTGCGTTCATCCACCTCTGGCCTGCTGGCCCCCTACCTCTGCAGAAGCACAGTCCCTGCTCAGCCCAGTCAAAACTGTTCTCTGCTCTGGCACCCCAATGGTGGAACAAGCTCCCTCACGACGCCAGGACAGCGGAGTCACTCACCACCTTCAGGAGGCACTTGAAACCCCACCACTTTAAGGAATACCTGGGATAGGATAAAGTAATCATTCTACCCCCCCTTACCCCACCCCCCCCTAAAAAAAAAAAAAAAACTTTACAAAAAATAAAATATATATATAAGGTGAATGCACCAATTTGTATGTCGCTCTGGATAAGAGCGTCTGCTAAATGACGTAAATGTAAATGTAATTGACAAGACAAGACAAATGGAATGATGAGATATGGAGCGGCAGTGCCTAGAAGGCCGGTCTGTACCCCCCCCCCCCCTTGACGCGCAGCTCCAGCAGCGCGCCTACACCGGTCTCAGGGACGGCCAGGAGGACGCGGAGCAGGGCGAGACGGATGGCGACGGTGGAAATCCCGCAAAAGGATCAAGGATATCCCTCACCGGGACCCAGCACCGTTCCTCCGGACAGTACCCCTCCCACTCCACAAGGTACTGAAGGCCCCCCACCCAACGCCTCGAGTCCAGGATGGAACAGACGGAGTACGCCGGGGCCCCTGCGATGTCAAGAGGAGGCGGAGGGACCTCCCGCATCTCAGACTCCTGGAGTGGACCAGCCACCACCGGCCTGAGGAGAGACACATGAAACGAGGTTTTAATACGGTAACCAGGGGGGAGTAATAACCTATAGGTAACCTCATTGATTCTCCTCAGGACTTTGAACGGCCCCACAAACCGCGGGCTCAGCTTCCAGCAGGGCAGGCGGAGGGGCAGATTCCGGGTCAAGAGCCAGACCCGATCACCCGGTACGAAGACCGGGGCCTCACTGGGGTGGCAGTCAGCGTTGGCCTTCTGACGACGCACGGCACGTTGGAAGTGGACGTGGGCAGCGTCCCATGTCTCCTCCGCGCACCGAAACCAGTCATCCACCGCAGGAGCCTCGGTCTGGCTCTGGTGCCACGGTGCCAGAACCGGTTGGTAACCTAAAACACATTGGAATGGCGTTAGGTTAGTTGAGGAGTGACGGAGAGTGTTCTGGGCATATTCGGCCCATGGCAAGAACACCGACCACTCCCCTGGCCGGTCCTGGCAGTAGGACCGCAGGAACCTACCCACATCCTAATTTACCCATTCCACCTGCCCATTAGACTCGGGGTGGAAACCAGAGGTCAGGCTGACCGAGACCCCTAGATGTTCCATGAACGCCTTCCAGATCTTGGATGTGAACTGGGGACCTCGGTCAGACACTATATCCTCTGGTACCCCGTAGTGCCGGAAGACGTGTGTAAACAGGGCCTCCGCAGTTTGCAGGGCCGTGGGGAGACCGGGCAGAGGAAGAAGGTGGCAGGCCTTGGAAAAGCGGTCCACAACGACCAGGATGGTGGTGTTACCTTGGGAGAGGGGAAGATCAGTCAGGAAATCAACACTCAGGTGAGACCATGGTTGTTGTGGAACTGGTAAAGGTTGTAACTTACCCGCTGGGAGGTGCACACTCTGGGCGCACACCGAGCAGGAGGAGACATACACCCTCACGTCCTTAGCCAAGGTAGGCCACCAGTACTCTCCGGTCAGGCAGCGCACTCTACGACCGATAACTGGGTGACCAGAGGAGGGTGACGTGTGTGCCCAGTAGATCAGACGATCACGGATAAGAGCAGGCACGTACTGCAGCCCAGCTGGACACTGAGGTGGAGATGGCTCTGTGCATAACGCCTGCTCTATATCCGCGTCCATTGCCCATACTACCGGCGCCACAATGCAGGAGGCCGGGAGTATGGGGGTGTTGTCTCTGGGCCTCTCCTCTGTGTCATACAGCCATGACAATGCGTCTGCCTTTACGTTCTTCGTACCCAGGATGTATGATAGTGTGAAATTAAACCGGGTGAAGAATAGGGCCCACCTGGCCTGGCGAGGATTCAGCCTCCTCGCTGCCCGGATGTACTCCAGGTTACGGTGGTCCGTCCAGACGAGGAAAAGGTGTTTCGCCCCTTTGAGCCAATGCCTCCACATGGTCAGGGCTCGGACAACAGCCAACAGCTCCCGATCACCAACGTCGTAGTTCTGCTCCGCCGGGCTGAGCTTCTTAGAGAAGAAGGCACAGGGGCGGAGCTTGGGTGGCATGCCTGAGCGTTGAGATAGGACAGCGCCTATCCCTACCTCGGACGCATCCACCTCCACTACGAACGGTAGTGATGGATCAGGGTGGGCCAGTACCGGGGCTGAGGTGAACAGACCCCTCAGGTTACTGAAGGCCCTGTCAG